TATGTGGCTGGCACCTTAGCCACTTGAGCCACAGGCACTGAGCCACACAAGTGAATTTTTAAAACTTTCTTGAAATAGAAAAGATTTTAAACTGTAATTTAAGAAACCTTTATGAAAATAAAAGAAAAACTACTTATTTAAAGAACCCACTGTGTATCTATGTATATACGTATCTATTCAATAATCAGACCTCCTAAAGCCAACACAGAATTTTTCTCCATTAAACAAACCACTGACTGAGCAAACACAATAGATGTAAACGTAACAATGCATCAACTAATAAAAAACTTGTTCTAATGACATTATTCATTATCAGAAGCCTCATGATTATAAAATGAATAGACTAGGGGATGCAACTCAGGTCAGCAGAGAGGATGAATGTTGTTAACAAATGAAGGATTCTGAAAAGGCGTCCAACAGATCATAGTGATCACAGCTGCTGCTTCTGTACAGGGAGGCTGATGAATAACGAGGCTTTGGATGGCTCATTCGCCTCTGGATCTACCTTCCAGACCCAATACACTCCCTTGTTCCCCTAAATGAGAATGTCATACATTTTTTTCATGAAACTGCCTGGTTAGAATTTCTCAGCACCCATCCCCTCAAAATCCACACCCCCCCTCCCCACTTTCTTGTTGGCATCCGATGTAATTTCAATAGGGAGAAGGCAAAAAGGCTAATATCTGATTAAAACAATGTCTCAAAAAAAATTTTACTAACAGTTCAAAAAATAAAGCATTCTAACATGAGAGCATGCAAACTGAACAAACACTGCATGAAATTGTGCACATGATTAAGACCTTGGTGTTAGTGCTTACTTCTTCTCTGCTTCTCTTAGAACTTAACCAGCCCTCTTCAGAGCGGGGGAAACACCTTTTTTTGTTGGAATCACATGAAGGTTGGCACAGCAATCTGCTGTCACAGTTGTTTTTAAGGATCTCAATTGCCATGTGGATAAGGTACGTGTCAATGCTTTCAGGAACGAACATCCTAATTAATTTAAATTTATTCATATCTGTAAAAGATGAAAAACTCAATTTTAAAACAAATTGCAGAAAATATTTTAGAAAACCTATAAGCTGGAACTAGGGAAATATTTCATAGAAAGGAAGGAGGAAGACTGCCAAAGAAAATTTTTCTCTTTCAAATGCCCTACCGAATGGAAATACACTTAAAACTCCACTCCTCTTATTACCTGGAAACCCCCCCACCCCCTGCAACCCCACCACCACCACCACCTCCAAAACCCAAAGGTAGGTCATTTTTACTGACTCTGCATAAACAACATTTCAAACTCTCTTTTGTGGGCTGTCTTGAGAATCAAAAAAACCACTCACAGATCTGTTTCTAAAGGAAACGGAAATTTAGATAAGATTACATTTATGCTTAACTAAGTCAGGAATCTCCCCATCATATTTATCCACTAAGCTAAAGTGATAGGATTCAAATTCCAAGAATCATTTACAAATTAATTTTTTCTTGAATAATTTATTCTTATTGCTTCTCAGCCTTTTGGCTAAGATCAAGTGTAAACATAACTTATTCTTAAAATAGAAGCTAATCATACTTGTTAAATAAGATTCTAATGAAAAGGATCTTCTCAATGGTTATTATTGCATAACAAAAGACACCAATTATTTAAAATGCACATCCACAAGATGAAGTTTCTCGGGAAAATGTTTTATTTTTGGAATCAAAGAACTTGAAATGAGTTTAAGTTACAAAGAAATTAAGAGTGTGTCCATCTCTTCACATCTTCTACAAATGATGTCTCAATCTCCTACAGATAGAAACCCTTCCAACTCTCCACTGCCAGAGTAAGGCAGACCTCAGCAGCTTAGACCCTGCTCCCTCATCTTCATGTCCTTTATTAAAGATACCAAACATTTCTGAAACCCAATTCAAATAAGCAAAGTATTTTCAAATGCCACCCTGAACAAGTGTTCTTTAAATTATTACAGTTTTCATATTTATATTCTCCTTTCTTTTAAAGAGGCTGCCACTCCAGGACTTCCCATAAATACTGCAGCTAAAAAAAAAGGCAGAAAGAGAAGGTTACACAGCTAATGGAAACTAGGTCATTGGGTTATCTAACTAATTTTTAAATGTTAAGATTGGTACAAAGCAAAGTCTTGGAGAGGATAAGATTATGTCTATGCTTAAATAAGTCAAGGAACCTCCCCATCATATTTATCCACTACGCTAAATTTCATTTGTCCTTTGGTCAGTACACCCTCCTAATGCCACTGAAAATCCACCTATTTTACTACTTAATCATTTTTTAATGGCTGAGGAATATTTTTTTGTATGTATCAGAATTTAATTTGACTTCACTTACATTTGTTTTCACTTTTTCTTTGAGAAAAGTGTTTGATAAACATTATCGCACACATATTACATATACCTTTCCATACTTTTAGATTCCTGGAAGGGAGAAGGTAAGACACATTTATATTTTGATACATACTGCCAAACTACCTCTGGAACTGTGCTATACAACACAGTAACCACAAACCACATGTTGCTACTTGGTATTTGAAACAGGATACTGTGATAATAGTGTGAGCTAGGAGCAGTGGCTCACACCTATAATCCTAACACTTTGGGAGGCCTAGGAAAGTGGCTTGCCAAACTCAGGAGTTCAAGACCAGCCTCAGCAAGAGAGAGACCCCCAGAACAGACCAGCCTGAGCAAGAGAAAGACCTCATCTCTACTAATAATAGAAAAAAAAATTAGCCGGGTGTTATGGTGGATGCCTGTAGTCTCAGCTACTCTGGAGGCTGAGGCAGCAAGATCTCTTGAGCCCAAGAGTGTGAGGTTGCTATGAGCTATGATGATGCCATGGCACTCTACTGAGTATGACAGAGTAAGACTATGGCACAAAAAGGGGGGGAGGGGTGTTGGTGTGACTGATAAACTGAATTCTTGAATTTAAGTAATTCTAATGAATTCAAAACTAAATTTAAAATCTGATAGTATTTGACTGCATCACTAGAAAAATTTAAATATTAATATGTTTGGAACAACTTGAGTGTATTAATCTACTTTGTTCAAATGTAAATCTTATGAAAGCTAAGTATAGATCAACTATTTTTCACTTGAAGTTTAACATCAGCAGATACGCTGCAAATATAAAACATATGCCTGATTTCAAAGGCTTATTACAGAAAAAGTACTATAATGTTCTATTAATTTTTATATTGATATGTTGAAATGATAAAATTTTGAACATAATTTGTACTATCAAAATTAATTACACTAGTTTACTTTTTAATGTGGCTACTAGAAAATTTTAAATTTCACATGTAGCTCATATTATATTTCTACTGGATAGAAATACTCTAGAAATACCATGTAAATTTTCCCATACTCTAACCAACTCATTAATCTTGCATTATATACATAAATAAGTGGCATCTAGCATTAAAAGTACATCTTCTGCTCTAACTTCCCAGGTAAGTAAGTGCAGGAGGATTAATAACATTGCCTGCACTCCTGCAGCACTTTGAAGATCATACTGCCCCTACATTCACGGCAGGTCTTTTGGAAGCCCTTCTCAATTTTCCAGTTATATACACATGAAGAATGAAATTATCAAAAATATTTAATGTCTTGCTGGATTGATTATTAAGCACAGTTAGAATCTCAACTCTATAAAACAAGTTTAAAGTTATATAAACGTGGAAAAAAAAAGAATAAAAAGATATAGAACTCCTTTAAATATTAAGAATTACAAGGACAAAACCTACTTAACAAATATGATGGTATGAAAATAGACATGTCTTCTCAATGCACAATTACTCTGTTTTTAAGTTAAGATTATGTCATTAACAAAATACAGGACATTCCTCAATTAAGGACTGTACAAAATTTAGATCTCAATCAAACTTGTTCATTAAAACACTGAATTATATGATTGGCTACTGTTAAATAAAAGATGAAAATAACATCTGAATCATTAATGTAGCAAGTCTATCTTCATTTCTTTTTATTATTTATAACTCAATATTTCCTCCAGTAACAGAATAAGCAGTATTCTATTTGAATCCAGAAGCAAAACTTCCTATCAATAAATGATGTCTGAGAGGCAAGAAATGCGTGATCAAAAGAAGTAAAAGCGAGAGCTATGCTTATCACAACCTTCTTAATTTCTATTTTGGCTTTGAGAGTAAGCTATAAAAATACGCTTCCTCATATTATATGTGCAATCTCCATACAGTGTATTAAAAGAATGAAATGAGTATTTAACAAGTATACTTAAAATGTTCTCTGTCATTCTCTATTTAACGCTGTACTCTCTGTGGGAGACGATGTCTCACTAATTCGTCACTCAAACCCTATGTGTTCTCTCACCTCCCTGATAGCTGTTGAATCAGGTTGTTCAAATAAATTCAAAATTAAATAAAGAATTTCTCAAGGTTATATATTCTGCTAGATTTTAATAGTTCTTAAGACACAATTAAAAGTTATCTAACGTCAGAAATTGAAATTGCTAAACTCAGAAAATAGATAGTACTAAATATGACAAAGAATATTTAAGGACATCAGATAGACAAAGATATTGACCTGAATATAAATAAGTTAATTGATTTCACTCATTAAGTTGGGTTTAGACTTAAATCCTATGTCAGTATCAGAAACTGAGTATTTCTTTCTTTAAGTTGGGTGACAATGTGACTTTAACACGGTCTAGTAAACAGAAAACTTATCATTAATCTTAGATGTGAGATTAAAACAATCTTCCCCCTCTCTCGGCCTCAATTCCTATCCTGAAACAGGGTAGGAGTAGGAAAAGGAAAACTTAATGATTTCCAATTTCTTTTTTTTTTGCAGTTTTTTTTTTTTGGCCGGGGCTAGGTTTGAACCCACCACCTATGGCATATGGGACCGGTGCCTTACTCCTGTGAGCCACAGGTGCCACCTCCCAATTTCTTTTCCAAATCTAAATTTCCATAATTTTATGACTACATGATTTAGAAACCAAATTAACACTACTGCAAATTTTCATCATAGCCAAACAAAATAGATACTGTCAATACTTGGCTGAATAATGTAATCCCAAATGGTTCCTTTATCGTTTTCCTAGAGACTGAAACGTTCATTTTCATCATTCAAGAATATTTTTGCCCCAGTCTTCCTTAGTACACACAGACACATGCGCACACACACTCACATGTATCACTGAAACGTGCTAAATTCTTAAAGTTGTACATTCCTATAAAATCCAGGTTTTAGAAATTTCCTTCTTATATACTTATTTATGAGTGTCACTTTTTCATATATTCTTAGTGAATAAAAAAGGATAGAGTATAAAAGTAATCACGTTTAGGGGGGTTTTTAAGATGCCATCGAATCTTACTTAACACCTACTTCTTCAGTCATCATCCATCATATTCACCACCACCGTTCACTAACTACTTGTGTGCCCAGGCTTTCTTCTACAGTTTCTAATTTCCACTCATGTGCTGCACAATGACATTTGGGTCAACGAAAGACCATTTATATGACAGTGTCCCATTAGACTATGATGGAGCTGAAAAATTCCTACCAGCAAGTGACATCTTAGCATGGCAGGGCCTGACGTCAGTCACATGTTGGTATGATGCTGGTGCATACAAACCTACTACTCTGCCAGAACACGCAAAAGCACAGCACATACTATTAATACCAGGTACCGTACATAGTACTCGGTAACGAGAATGAATGACTGTGCTATTAGTCTGTGTTTACTGAACTACGTTTGCATTTATTGTTATTTTAGAGTGCACCACTACTCATTAAAGAAACAGTTAACTATAAAACAGCCCAGGCAGGGCCTTTGGAAGGTAAACCAGAAGAAGGCACTGTCATCACTGGAGATGACAGTGCCACACACGTTACTGCCTCTCAAGACCTTCTAGTGGAACAAGATGTGGAGTGGAAGACAGTGATACTGATGATCTGAACCCTGTGTACACTAAATAACTTTTTTTTATATAAATTTAGTATAGCCTAAGTGTACAGTATTTATATGTTCATTAAGTCTCCAGGAGCCTAGTGTCTACAGCCGGCTACATCATCTCCATTCGTGTTAAGTGACATTTGCATAATGATGAAATCTTCTAACATACGTATTTCTCAGAGCGTATTCCCACTGTTAACCAATGCAGGATTGAATTTCTCATAATTCTGTAACAGAAGCAATATTATCTCTCCTCACTTTAGTAATGAGGAAACTGAAGCTTAGGGAGACTGTGTATTTTGTTGAAGGTAACACAGCAATGAAATGGTAGAACCAAGATGTGAACACAGATCCTTCTGCTGCCAGAGCCTTTGCTCTTGCTGACTACACGAATACCGTCAATCTTCAAGATTTAAAGAAGGCAGCCAAATGACAGCAAAAATAATTGTCAACAGAAAAAAAAAATTGCACAAACTCAGAGAATATTGCCTACTACTTAATAACATGTCAAAAGACACACATTTATTTAAGTCCTGAGAGACAATACATTTATCGGGAAAAAAATAATTCTGGCTTATTATTTATTTTAGAGACAAAGTCTAACTTTAACGCCCTCGGTAGAGTGCCATAGTATCACAGCTCACAGCAACCTCTAACTCCTGGGCTCAGGCAATTCTCTTGCCTCAGACTCCCAAGTAGCTGGGACTACAGGCGCCCACCCCAACACCCGGCTACTTTTTTTGTTGTTGCAGTATCACTGTTTAGCAGGCCCGGGCCAGGTTTGAAACTGCCAGCCTTGGTGTATGTGGTGGGCGCCATAACCACTGTATTACGAGCACCAAACCCTAATAGGTAATTTTTTAACTGCGGCTTTGGAGACTAGGCTAATTGAATGGCCACTGCTCTATCCTACAAATCTAGAGAAATTTATCAGATTTATTGAGTTATAAGACACCAAGTTTATATTTCTACACTGAGGGGGGAAGTCCTCTAATGTACCTCATCTTTACTTTTATAAAAAAAGAATCATAATTTAAAACATTCTGCAGGCCAATGGGAAGGGCTTAATTCCCATGAGCACAGTTGAGACTGTGCAGTAGCGTGACATGAGGAAATCCTTCCACAAGGGCCCCACAGAACTCAAGTTGTCTCTTCCGTGTGACAGTGACTGGTACCACTATGATTAGAAAGGCTACTCAAGGGAAACCAATGACAAGGACCCTAAGATTTAGGAGAAAAGTCGGGAGTCAGGTACTGGGAATAACATGGAGGAAAAAAAGGTGTTCTGTGCAACGATGGGGCAGAAATGAGAAAAGAATTAAAGTGCGTGTTGTTCTGAACGAATTGGAAAGTTGTAATCTAAAGCTGAAAAGAAAAATACTCTCTCAGAATCACTTCCTCTGAGGGACAATGGGAAGAAAGATTGTTTTTTTAAAACAATAAACTGGATTACCAAAATAAGGTTTCATAACAGCATAAAGGGTCAGTGCAGCTGAAAAACATGAGAGCGCTGCTTGTTTACTTTATCTGGGTTCAAGAACTCAAGTCATTAGCTGCAAAGGAGGCCGCTCATCACCTGAGTTGACGGGAGGGTTTCGGATAACGTCAGCAATAACCTTCTGAATCTCTGGAGTAAGTCCGGCTCGCTCCAAATCTAGGGGGTATCCAGCCTTCACCGCGTGGGATAAATGCATGCCAACTGCCGGCAGAGGCAGAATCCTGTTCTCAGCTATCTGATTCTACAGAAACAACAGCGAAAGAACCAGTGAGGTTTTTTATTTGTTTACATCTCCACTGTACTTCATTAAAAAAAAATATCCAAGATGTTCAGGTAGCAAGTGTTCACTGAGAAATAAACAATGAACTGAATGTTCACTCACATTTTTCATTTTAACAATTTCTTCAGAACTACTCACATTATAAACTTCCAGAGGTTCTATTTTTATGTTTGTTATACTGTACTGAATAAAACAAAATCACCCAGCTTTAGCTAAGAATTCAATCTTCATCTATCTTTATTCACTTTAAAAAGCAATTAGTGGCAGAGAGAAGTCTTTCTATGCAAGTCTAATAGCTGTCACAACCTTTTGAAAACACAGTAAACTGTAATCCAATATTCTCTACACTTGGAATACACATGGTGCTTTGGTTACATGAATTCACAAGAAAGCAAACCCTAAAATGCTTATGATAACACAGGCTCCAGATGCATTAAGAAGTTCTTGAGAAGACTTTTAACAAGTGTTTAAATCAACTCTATTCACAAAATAACAATAACTACAATTTCACAAGGGCTATGACCATTTTCCTACCATAGAACTTAACATGAATTGTTTAAATTTAGGATAGTGCTACATATTTATACAGCTTTTTACACAAATGTGACTCCCGGTACATTTTATGTTTTAGGTAAAACCTTCTTTTCATCACTCAGCTGAGTCACTCGGCTCTGATTTCATGACACTCTCTTCCACCGCATTTTGAAAGCCTAAATTTAGGCTGTATTTGCATGAATGATACTACCACAGAATAGCACTTAAAGCTGTATTTTCATCCTTCAAAGGCAGGTTTTAAGTTGCTTTCATTAATTGCCTATTCTTTTCTACCAGAAAGTGTGCACCATGTGTCTGTGATGTTAGGGTTATTTGATACCAGGAATCAAATTACCATAACTAACTGTATTATTCTCCTGATTAATTAGGCCTTAGGCATGTTTAGTTCTGTGGTTAAGTGGCAAGACCCTGTCAGACTCCCAGGAGGTACAGATAATTATACCATCATACTATACAATAAAATACAACCAAATAATACCAAAAGACACAGATTAAAATATACATTCTTCACATCTTAAACATGAATCTGTAATATGTGTATAATATGTATAATATGTGAATATTTATGACTGTATTCAGAAAATTTGGAGCCACTACCAAATTTTCTTCGTAACTCTATTTGGCTCTACCATACGTGCATAGTCAAATTATGTATGCACAGGCATTTTAAAAATATACATGTAAGTTACCACTTATATAAGAGACTGAACTTAAATTCCTATCATGTTTTACTTTAAAAATAGTAACATGGAATTATTTGGGGGTTGGACTTAATGGCCTCGGTAAGGAACTTTAAGAAACTTGACTATCTAATTAGAACATTCATTCCGTAAGTAAGATAAGCTACGGCCTGTTTACTCTTATATTTAGGGGCCTTATCTGAATAAAGAGTGTGTAATGTAGCTACACAAATGGGGGCACCAAGAACAGAAAAGGTTGGCACTGGACCCATAACCTGTTCCAAATCAATTTAATGGCACAGAAGACGGGAATTCACATCAGTTAACTTTAGATGGAAGCTTCATACTGCCCCTATTCCCTTAAGATACACTTTTCTCTTTTGATTACAAAAAAACTCAACAGCCTTAAGGATTTATGTTAGTACAATGAAGAAACATTAAGTACGGTCTTTTTAATAGTAATTAGATATTTTTCAAAGACCATCAGGCATGGTTAAAAAAAAAAAAACAGAACAGTACTAGATGATATGAATGAAAAATCAAATTTTTACAAACTTATTTCCAATGTCTCAGATCTCCTTCCAAAGATACTGTATGTATTTTTTACATACATACATGAAGATGTGAATATATAAGCGTGTTATCTACACATGCACACACAGGTACATCTACATTTATTTTTCACACAGCTTTGCACCTTCCTTTTTAACTTAATGTATCTTTAAGATTGTTTCTTAACAGTACAGATACTAAAAGTATTTTAACTATTAGTGCCGTTTTTAGAAATTGAGTTCTAAAATGTGCTGCAGTAATATCCCTGAGCTTACAAATGTGTTCCTCGGCACCCCCGAAACAGCCTCTGTAAGATCGATCATGGTAAAACTAGACTTCCTGCTATTGCCTAACTGACAGAAGGAGGAGTAACAGAAAGAGATAAAAATCAGATTCACTTCAGGATTAGAAGAAACTGATCCCACCTTACAGCATAAGTATTAAAAAGATGATAAAACAGAAGCCTGGAAAGCTAAAAACTTCCCTGTAACCTGAAAGTAACACTCACCAAAGACATCTTCTTTTCTTGGAACAAAGAGTAAGTGATGACCACAGAATGTGGAAGTGAGTATTTCTTTTCTTCTACCAAAATTTCCTTCTGCTCTTCTTGAGGTTTTATACTTGGAAAGAGGTCTGTCTAGAGAAGTTTAAGTACAGACAAATAACAGTATGAATATAATGAAAGAATATGAATATGATCACCAACCACGAGGGAAAAAAATAACCCAAGTAAAACCTCTCACTACGAGGTAGAGAATTCTCTTTTTATGGGGAGCCCTAAACAAAACTGGGATTTTTATGTATTAATTTTATTTTATTTAATTTTTTTTTTTGGATTTTGACTTCTTTTATTTATTTTTTTAGAGACAGAGTCTCACTTTATTGCCCTTGGTAGAGTGCCAGGGCATCACAGCTCACAGCAACCTCCACCTCCTGGGTTTAGGCGATTCTCTTGCCTCAGCCTCCCAAGTAGTTGGGACCACAGGCGCCTGCCACAATGCCCGGCTATAGGTATTAATTTTAAAAGGTAAAATGATGCTAGAAAACATAATTTAAATGAAATATGTATAGTGAAAAACATTTCCTTGTCTTCTTTTTAGCTAGTAAGAAGGAATAAAAAAAGGAGCTATCAGCCAGATGCAATGGCTCAAATCTCTATAATCCTAGCACACTGGGAGGCTGCAGCAGGAAGATCATTTGAGGCCAGGAGTTAGAGACCAGGCTGGGCAATACAGCAAGACCCAGTGTGTAAGAAAAAAAATTTTTTTAATTAGTTGAGCACGGTGGTTTACACCAGCAGTCCTAGACACTCAGGAGACTATAACAGAAACTTGAGCCCAGAAATTTGAGGTTACAGGGAGCTATAATTGGACCACTGTACTCTAGCACAGTGACAGAACAAGGCCCTATCTCTCTATTAAAAAAAAAAAAAAGAACAATAATATGAATCACTCTCTTTAAAATAGTACTCTAAACCCCTAGAATTGAATAAATTGAATCTATATTCAAATTTAGGTATTATAACCATAAATTCTGCTAATATATCACAAGGAAATAGATTATAACACCATATTCTATGTATCTAAGATTTTAAAAGATAAAACTTTTATTTTTTTTTTATTTTTTTTTGTTTTGTTTTGTTTGAAACAGAGTCTCACTTTGTCATTCCAGGTAGAGTGACCTGGTGTCATAGCTGCTCATAGCAGCCTCAAACTCTTGGACTCAAGTAATTCCCTTGCCTCAGTCTCCCAAGTAGATGGGACTACAGGTGCCTACCGCAACACCCTGCTATTTTTAGAAATAAGGACACGCTCTGGCTCAGGCTAGTCTGGAACCTCTAAGCTCCAGCAATCCACCTGCGTCAGCCTCCCAAGAGCTGGGATTATAGGCATGAGCCACTGCACCTGGCCTAAATTTTTAAACTAGAGCTCTAAACTTTAAGTATTATTTGAAATTTTAAATATGGTTCTTTAAGAGACATTAAAAAGAAAAAATGGGGAAAGAATGAAAAATAAGATTCATGCTTATTTTTAAAACCTGGAAAAAAGGTAAAGAAACAATTATTTTTTAACCACACATTGAAAGTAGATTATAACAGCATGCTGCAGTCATAATAAAACCTATAACAAACTAATAATTTAAAGAGCCTAGTCTCTTGACAAACGATATTGGCATCATTTTGATATGGCTACGTAACATATGCTCTACTACATTATACGTAGATATACAAGGAAGAATATTTACAAGCTTTTCTTTGAGGAAGAAATACACTTTCTGTTTGCATATTCTATTATTTAGGGAGTTCAATACAAAACATTATTAGTTGAGCATTAATTTACTGCTTGGTGAAAAATACAAATGTTTCTGTTTTCCTTTTTCCAATGTTATATGTATGATGCCCAATTTCAGAATTTGAATCATTGACCCAAAGCAATAAAATGTGTTTTCCAAACCTTCTGCAGGACTTCACTTTGCATATGCAAGAACCTCAGAGCTCTCCTCTCTTAACAACACCAAAGACAACTCCAATCAAATAACCCTAGTGTTCCGAGCACATAGTACAGATGTAAAGGAAACAGAGCCTGGGTTTAGCCTCAGAATGGCTGCCACGTGCAGTTTTTGGAAGGTACACATCAAGACAGAACAGGGACTTTCTGAGGAAGCCTCTTGCTACCTCGTCTGGTCCAGCATTTGCCATGGTCTGATCCTGTAATCTCACAAGTCTGATTAGTCTTGTTCCAGAGTAGTTGTGTTTGGGGAAGTAAATCTGTATTATTCAGCTCTGTGAAATTGGTTTTATGTCTTTATGGATGTGTGTGTATAAATGTAAGTGTATATACTGGAAACCAAATTCGACTGGGAAGTATCACATGGCCCAGCCACTGTGTTCTGTTCTATGGAAGAGTTATACAGGAAGCCAGCTTACCTGAAAGTTGTTTAGCAAGCTTGGAATATAACAAGGGAACTTGTGGTAGTGTCTTAAGTCGCCTCTTAATTACAAAGGTCAGTTAAGGCATTCTCCTTGCCAATTGAACTATAATACATATTTAAATGTAGTTAGCCAAAATGTATTCCCATCTGAGGACAGATGAGAAAGCTTAGGTGAGCTTTGCCTACTTTTATCCTTATGCCTTTCCTATTCACGCACTTCCGTAACTGACCATTCTCTGTTCTCTTTTGTAAATGTTTTTATTACGTTTTACTGTGGGAACTATCAAACATACTCCAAAGTCAAGAGAACGGTAAAATGAGCCCCTGTATGGGCCAGCCCATTTTAATAATTGTCATTCATAGCCTATTTTATTTCATCAATACCTTTACACATTCACCAACTCCCCTGTCCCTGAATTCTTTTATTTGATAACATAGTACCTATATAAATTTATAGGATGCATGTTTACACAGTCAGACTTTTGTCTACATGGAAAATGATCTGATTAGGTTTTTTTTACTAGAATCACCTTCTAGTCCTGCCATCTTCAGATGACTTTGGATTACTCTGCTAAGTATTTCGGATATTCCTAAATCCTTTAGTTGCACATTTACACATGAGATCATCTTTTTGCCCCATAAATCCTAAAATCTTTATGGATTTGGCAATAAAACTCAAAGAAGAAACTTTAAAAACATAATTTTCCTAAAATATATTTCTGCATAATTATTTTAGCATATTTTTCCTAAATAGCCATCTCAATGGGTTGAATACTCTTGTTACCATATTTTTAACTTTTGATTCTACTATGATAGTATTTAAATTTTACTTCAAAAATTTTAAAAATATATTAAAAGCCAATGAAGCTGGTAAATAACAAAACTGACTTAACAGACATTAATGTTTACTAATTTCTTTAATATAACAAATAGTTTCAATTTGCAGAATAATCCAGGCATAATTCCTGATCAGAGAATTCAGCAGGTATTTTCTCTATGTAGAAGGTTCATAAAGGTTTCCATACCTACCCTACGGAATGCCTTTATCTTTTGCCCTACTTCAGCTTCTTCTGCTAAAGGCAGTTAGGAGGGTAATTCATTCATTATTAAATAATACCACTCCTTTATGAAAGAAGATACTATCATCAAATGTACAGCGAGAGGAAACTTATTCAATTACTGCTGGTAGGTATGGTATTCTTTATCAAATCATTAAAGACACTATAATTTCATTTTCAAAATATCCATATGGAATACAAGAAACTGTCACATAATGTCTTGCATAAGACTATAAAAAAGAAAATTTAAAGTTGCCAAAGATAGTCTATAACAAGAGAGAGAAATGCTATACACAAAAAGCACCAGGAGGGCGGCGCCTGTGGCTCAGTGGGTAGGGCGCCAGCCCCATATACCGAGGGTGGTGGGTTCAAACCTGGCCCTGCCAAATTGCAACAAAAAAATAGCCAGGCATTGTGGTGGGCACCTGTAGTCCCAGCTACTCAGGAGGCTGAAACAAGAGAATTACCTAAGTCCAAGAGCTGGGGGTTGCTGTGAGCTGTGACAACACGTCATTCTACTGAGGGTGACAAAGTAAAACTGTCTCTAAAAAAAAAAAAAAGAAGGATTTTCTACTTAAGAGGATTATTTTTCTAAAGCAAGATGCAACTGTGCACAGTAAGTTCTCAGAAGTAAAAAGCATCCCATAATACTGCCTTGAATGCATTTAATTCTTCTAACTTTTTATAAGCATCTCACGTCTTTTATCTTTCTAATGTCATCACTGTTTCCTTGATGTCAGGACAGAAGTATCATCTCTATTGTATCATTTCTACTGAATTGAAGACCCAAAGAATTTAAAGCTGTCCAGGCTTCACAGGTAAACTATACAGAGGCAAACCAAGATCCTGATCCTTGGCTGAGTCCAGCAGTTCTCCATGGCCACACACTGCCTCACCCTCTGTCCTGCAGTACACAGCGCAGAGTCTGCATGTAGAGTTTAAAGAAAAATCCAAACAATCCTTGTGCAAATGGTGGTTTATGGTGGGGCAAGAAAATGCTATTAAGGCAGAAGAGAGTAACGTGAAATCCATATAATATCAAAAGACAGCATTATGGGAAGGGGAGACTAATCAGACAATATGCCAAAAAAATAAGAAAAAGTGGCTGAGCTCCTTAGCAACTGACAGTAAGGTTAACTTTACATCTTTAATTTCTAGCAACCACATTTGAAAATAAAAGTTGGAGTTTATCAACCAAAAATTCAGTATTCAAATCTTTTTTTTTTTTTTTTTTTGAGACAGGGTCTCATTCTGTTGCCCAGGCTAGAGTGCAGTGGCACAATCATAGCTCGAATGATCCTCAAGCCTCAGCTTCTGAAGTAGCTAGGACTACAGGTACACACCACCTTGCCCAGTTAATTTTTCAAAAAAACTTTTTAGAGAAGAGATTTCACTATGTCACCCAGGCTGGTCTCAAACTCCTAGTGAGCCATCATCCTGCCTCAGCCTCTCAAAGTTCTGGGATTACAGACGTGAGCCACCACAGCTGGCCTTCATTCAAAATTAAAAACAAAATCTCCCAATGAAATTTTAATAGAAAGACATAAGCAGCCTTCACAACTCTACTCTATCATCTTTAAAAATAGGTAACTGACATGTCTTCACAACAGGTTGATCGCAAAAAACAATCTGAATTCATCTTCTAAGTGTCTAGTAAAGAAATGCAAATAATAAAGGGAGAAAATGCTGCTTGTGAAATGGTCCCAAATGCTTATTCTCTAAGAGCTCCTGCAAACCACAGTATTTTACCTGAACACTATTTAGTTGGCAGAAATGTTTGATGACTTCCAACAGAGGGGTCAACATAGCAGCTTTGCCTTCAGAAACACCATCAATCTTTTTAATATTTTCAACCGTAGTTGGTCTGTTTAAGGGAAAAAAAGGTTAAAAAACCACTGACACAGTATTACTCCAGCAATATAGCTGATGCTCAGCTTCATACTGAAACTCAACCTCAAGAAATGCACATTCTTTCCCAACCGCCAAACCAATACATAACACAAGTCATCAAGTTTTACAATTTCTTTCTTTGCTTCCCACCATTCAAAGATTTGCTGTTTTAAAAATTTATGAATAAAAATACTACAGCCTCCTTTACCACAAAAGCACAGTACTAACTGTTAAACAGGCCATTATTATAAAAGAACAAGCTAAAGTAAAATGATTCAATGTATTACTTTATAGAAACGAAAAAGAAAACTATGGGGCTCCAACTGGGTAACACTAAGAGGCTAAGAAACTCTCAGAAGAAAGCCTCATTTATTATTTTTTTCCCACAAAGTAGTTACCTATAACGGTAATTAATTATGCTGCTAACTACACTTCTGGCTTTCAGCTCAGTATTTCTTATTGTTCTTTATTGCACGCAATATCTAAAGACTGTATGATGTCTTTTTTCTAAAAATCCACCAACCTAATGATTACTTTATACTTAAATATTCAGAGAAGATATTTAAGGAACATCTTAGAATACTTACATTTACCATAATTATTGTAAGATAATGAACACTGTGTAATATCACTAGAATAGTCTGCACTGAAGTAACATCTACTGGATGAAATTTAGGGATGGAAACAATTTTTTAAAAAGAAGCATACAATTACCAGAAACAATTTTCAAAAGAAAGAATACAATTACCAGATAGGAAATAATTGTTTATAAATATTTAACAACCATCTAGTGTTTACTAGGAATTATGCCAGATGCTGTGGGAGACACAAAGACATAAGGAACTAAGATCTTTATGCAGAGAGTTTAAAATCTAAAAGATATAATAATACATGTTTACCACGTGTTATTACAAAAAAGTAAAACACAGCATTGTGTGATAAACGTCATAGCAGCATCTTTAGAATTCATCTTAAAGGTCCTTTATAAATTCAAGAGAAAGGATTTACTCTGCTGCTAAGACCATGGAAGACTTCTCGGAGGAACTGTAATGAAGCTAGACCCTAAAGGATTTCTTCAGGAGTTCTGAGGAATCCAGGAAACAAGGAAGACATGGCAAAGAAAAACACGGAGGGCCAAAAGGGCCTTCAACAATGGTAAACAAAACTCCGACTTAGACAGAACAGTGAATTAAGTCCATAACCGGAAGGCCTTGAATTCTAAGCTAAAGAAGCCAAAACAATGTGAAAGCATTTAAGCAGAAGTACATGATAAAGGAAGACTAACACCAGATGTAACAGAGAGAAGGAGTAGTGAGCAGTGAAGAGGCTTTTGCCCCACACAAGGGACGGGGGGGGGGGGGGCTAAACGTCACAGTGAAAATATGAGATGTGTCAAACATTAGGAACCTCTGATCAGGCATGTGATGGAAGGACAAACAAAAATAGAGAATTCAAAAAGAAAAGATCTGGGCTTTGGGTGAGCTGCAGGTTTGAAGTGAAAATTCATGTCTATACTGAATGAGCCGAGCTGGTTTTCACGCACGTAGAAATGTGGAGGTGACACTCAGCAGAGATGAGCACAGCAGCATGAGAGATTTGGAAGTCACCACACAGAGGTGACAGCTGAAGCATGGACATGGTATCAACTTAATGACCTATCTCCTAAGTGACCGTGTTAGAAGAGAACTGAACGCATACCCACGGCAGCCTACCTGACTCTGGCCATGTCCACCAGCACCTTGTTTGTTGCCAGCACAGCTGGAGGAACGTCCATTTCATTGGCCTGTTTCTGCCTAGCTTCGACCAATTTGGCATACAACACGGTCTGAACAAAAAACAAAGAAAAAAGACTTCAAAAATGTACTTAGATCCAATCCTTTACTTTTAGATTTTCAGATACTACATTGCCTCTTCAGATGACTATAACCTGAACTCCACCTCAGACTTTTTCAGATACTGACAACAGAATTTTGAACATGCACAGAATTGTCACTAATCCCTCATATGCTAATTACCCCTTTATAAAAGCCTTACCTGAGTCACCTGCTCTTGAGCTAAAACGACCGGTTCTCTGGAAGTGTAAGATTTTTCTGGTGACTGTACCACGATACTAAAATATTTAAAAGAAAATAAATAATAAGAGATTTTATTTTTCCTGGTTTACTTTCTATTTCATCTACAAAACGAGAGTATCTTTCCATGTCATTACCAACATTTATTCTTCACAATATCAGTAAGGTAATTTATTTAATGTTTAAGTAACAACGGCCTAAATTTTAAACATTTTGGATCAAATACATTCGTTATCATGGCAAAGTAAAAACTGCTCATCACAAAACTGAGGTGTTTACAAAGAGTATTTTTCCCATTCTGCTCCTCAACCAAATGCTTTGAAACAAAGTACTGCTTAATCCCCATACCAATAATAACATTTTTTTAAACCACTAGTTTTGTGGGGTTTTTAACCTACTGGGATATAATCTTTAATTCTTGCTCTAAGGTCACTTATTTTGGGCTGGTGGGGACAATTAGTTATTTAGAATTTTCTTCAAAATCAAACAAAAAAATAAAATAAATCACAGAAGTCATTTTGTTTTTGATTCCTCACAAGAAGGAAAAACACCCAATTAGGAAACACCATGAAATGAACAGTACTAAGAAGCAAACTAGACAGAAAACCAATTTCTACAAGAGCCATTTCTTATTAATTAATTATAAATGGGAAAAGTTACCAAAATGAAATGGTATAAATAGCTTATATAAAAGACGTCAAATTCAAGTGACTTCTCACTTCTCGAGGGCATAAGGGAAAATGTGTTTGATACTAAAGAAATGTTCATATTAATTTCTCTGCTAGCAAGAATTCATAAACTATAATATAAAGTAAAATTTCATTTTCATAGCTGTCAAATCTTACTGCTAAAGTAAGTAAACTTAAACTCAAGGAAAGATAACTCTACCTCAAAGAATCAATAATATCAGAAAATTATAAACTTTTAATTTATCCATGTATAGGCTTGGCGCCTGTGGCTCAAGTGGCTAAGGCGCCAGCCACATACACCTAAGGTAGTGGGTT